AGCAAACAATGATAAAGGAAGTAACACCACAGCAGGGTTTACCCATTCTCGTCCCTCTGGTTTCACACCTGTTGTGTTTACGTTTCTTGTTTGTTTTTCTGAATGTAACCTGTTGGAATTCATTTAAGATCTTAATTTGCATAAACATATGAAGTTGTATAAATATTGGGAGGTACTCATAGAGACAAACAAATGTAAGCCATACCACTTGGTGTCATAATATCAACACAATAAAAGACGATGAAATGAAATGATGTATTTCAAACCACAACACACAAAATAAAAACAGTGCTTTCTTGGTTGCACCACAGAGCTTTAAAGTTTTCATTGATTCACACTTCCTCACTTACATGAATGCTTTTCTTACACGGGAGCATATACCCAAAACCATTTTCTCTACGAGTTATATTCATCATCATTTGTGTCACCCTGATCATAATCAGGTCATGTGACCCATCATGTAGTCCTGGTGATAATGTTGGTTTATGTCTTCATTTTGGTTTTCTCGTGTTTGCTTGCAGAGGTCATCAGAGGGACAAACCTTTGTATCTGAGCTAATCTCAGAATCAAAGGATGCCAAAAGCCGACCCTCCTGCTGCCACGCCGTGAACCTCCTGCCACGCGTCCCCGTCAGCCCAGCTCAGCCTGGATCGAACATATGGACTTAGAGTGGACTTGTTGACAAAATGTGAACTAAACATGAACTCGGCACTTAAACCCCCCCAGCAGAAGGATAATTATGTATATTTCTTTAAGATAAAACAGTGTTACCAAGTGACCCAAACATCTGTTATTGGCTGTATCTTTCCTGCTGATCTCTTACTGCATAACTGCTCCCATTTCAGCATAAAACATGTTCATAAACAAGAAGAGGTTGTGCTGTGAACCATGCAGACTGGTGTATTTACTCCAACATGTAACTATTTTCTGTCTGCGCAGAAATTTTTCATCTGTACTTTCTCCTTTTTACTAAGGACGGTGTTTATGACCAGCACCAAACGGCTCCGTAGAGCATGTGTACATGGCTGTAACATAATTGTTGAACTAGTCAATTTAAGGCCAGCTGTTGCTTTTTGTTTGATTCTTCTTCTTTTTGACCTCATAGTTGCTGTGTCTTTCTACACTCAAAGCCAAAAGAGCACAGCATAAACACTTAAGATTATAAACCAAATATGACTCCGACTGTGTTCCTCCTCTGCATTCATAGTGACACGCTGCTGTACGGACCGAAGTCCCACAAGTCTGTCTGCAGACAGGAAACTTGTGGTCATTCTGAGAACCGAACACGGCTCTAAAGACTGGATTTATGCTGCTTTGTTCAGCTAAAGATAACTAAGAGAACGATCTGGAGCATCACCTTGAAGCTTTTTGTTTGTTTACTCAGGCTCCAACTGTGAATAATTATAAGATTAAAGAACTCTCGTTGTTCTCGAAGAAATCTGATCTATTTTAGTCCCTGAATTATTAAAATGTCAAAGAATTGTTCGTTAAAAAAATAATTTCTTCTTTGTACAATGCTAGCTCCTCTTCCTGGCATATGTCTGTTGATAATATTGATTAAGATCCAGACTGTGTGCGTGCGTGTGCGTGCATGTGCGTGCGTGCGTGTGAAGTGTTAATGAGAGAGAGTGGGTGATTGGGTTGCATGGTCTCTTTTGTCATCTGTATTTCTCTGTGCTCAGAGACTATTTAAGAAACTATAACTGGCTGTGTTTTAATGGTTTTGTTTTTTTTAATCAAAATGAGGTTTGTTTTCGTGTTAATGATGATGATGAGAGACGTATCTCTCCTGCTCTGTATCTCTTTGTATTCATGTGTTTTTTGGCAGATGAAAGGACTCTGGGCAACAACCATGAAGATCTTCTTATTTTTAGATTCTAATAATGTGTTTGAGAATAAAGTCGATGCTGCACTACTGCAGTCATTACTCCAAACCTGTCTTTTTCGTGTTGTTTTTGACTGAACTTTTTTTTTTTTTACTGAAAATAATATTTGTACCTTTCTTGTACTCCACACCTTTTGCCTCTGTCCTGACCCCGTCTGTTTATAAAAAGTGCTTTGTGATCCCAAAACAAATGTCTTTAAAATGTGTATTTTTAACTTTTTTTTTTTTTTGCTTTAATGTAGCAATATGGAGTGTAAATATATGTTTTGATTACCAGTTATGAGTTAAGCTCATAAGATATGCATGTAGTGAGATAGGGTAGGTTAGCTTCAGTGTTCCACTACAATCAATATTTAATAACGGGTTCTCTCTTTTTCGAGCTACTTGACAGATATGTGACAGAGATACTGTGTAGGAGATGGTCTAATCAGTGACATGAGACGTTAATTTTCTTTGACCCATCAAAATGAATGTGGTCATTTATTAACAGAATCAAAATTTAACATCAAAACATTGTACACTTGATTATTCCGATCGGCTCTGATTAATAAAACTTGGCACGTTTTACTTAATAAAAACAACAGACATTTCCTTAGATCTTAAATTAATGTCTGCAGACTTTTAGCTTATCTTTTTACTGGCAGAGAGAAGAGTTTTAAAGATGGGAAATGAAGGAGTTTAAATGGAGAGAAAAAATGGATGAGGGAAAGTGTGTTGACTAAGAACGGCACCCTCCATCCGAACCGGTAGTGAAGCGACTCGTTACCTTTGCAGAAGATAGGTCAGCTCCGGTACGGAGTTCCATTTCAACGCTACCTTTCAGCGTCTCCTTAGGATGGCTGAGAATCGTCCGAAGTAGTGACGGTACTCCGTTCAACAACACGCACACCTCACGGGTGGACTCACATGAGCTGTGAGTCCGTCAGAGGTTCCACTCAGATGTGGAAGATTCCATAATCCCAACTAGACTCGGAAGAATTCCCAACTAACTCCAGCACTTCTGTTCTCCTGGAACTTCTGTTCTCTCCCAGAACTTCTGTTCTTCCCCCAGAACTAACTGGAACTAGGAAGTGTTGACTTTTAAAGAGTTCTGCTTCCGGTCCCTTTTGGGAAGTCCTGATTGGTTGAAAGAACCAACAGGGGTGTGGTTTTAGTGACGTAAGAGGTTACTACAAGTCAGAAAAACAGCGGAGATGTTTAGGAACAGACAGAGAAATGTTTTGGAGAAATGACAGACCCACAGGTGCCAGCTTTTCTTGTTTCTGTCTGAGAGGTTTAAAAACATGACAGTTGGTTCCAATAAACTTGTTTGCGACTGTCTCCGACTTTTGACCAACATCACTCCTTCTCATTTCAGACAGAAGATCAAAAAATGCATAATTACTTTGTAACAGACATTTTAACTTGATTTCTACTTTGAATGAGGATTAAAAAAAATCATTAATACTGTTTCACAGTTGATTTAAAATGAGTGGTTCACTTCAACATTTAAAAATGATTTGAACTAAACACACTTTTGATTATCAAGACATTGTAAAAATAGTAATAATAATATAAAAAGAGAGTGTTCTTTCAATTGATTAGTTCAGGATACAATTAGAAAGTCTCTGGATGAGCTAATTTGTATTTCTGGATTCAAATCAATGAAATAACAGTTCCTGTTCCATGAAGGTCTTCAGGGTCAGGTTTTGACCGAAGGCTTAGTTCACTACATGCATGTATTATGCAAATAACCTCATTGTTTGGGCACCACCTCTCTCTTGGAGAGGAAAATCAGTCTATCTACACCAAAACAATGTAAGCTGAACGTGAGTTCTTTTCTGGTGTTTAAAGAATATCAAATCAATTAATACACACAGATAAGCCAAAATAATCACAAATTTAGTTGATTTCATGTATTTTATTATAAAAATAATCTGTGATATATATGGTGAAAATTATGCATGACAAAAGTTAACTGAATATCAAATGGCTTTGAATCAAAGGTCTGATGAGTAAAATCAGTGAAACTTAAAAGGCAGACTTTGGACTGGTTTCTGTTTGTGAAGTGGTTCAAATTGTGTCTAAGGTGAGCTAAATTTGTTTGATAAGTTTATTGTGATGCAGGGTCACTAGCAAACAGATGAAACCATGAGAGTTCTCCAGTTTGAACAACCTCCGTAGATACCAGGCAGGTGCAGATAGTAGCTCATAAGTTGAGAAATCTCCAGTTACATTGGATATGAAGACTGTAGTCCTCCTCTGGACCTGGTTCGATGGATAACTTCTGGATTGATCAACAAACTCCATGTTCAATAATCCAGGTATACAATCCAACAATTTTCAGTCAGGTCATCTGGACTGGATTGATTACTCACAGTTCACTCTGGGAAGGTGCTTGTTCTGTATCTTTTCGTCCCTTCTCTCGTCTTGAGACGTCTGCAGAAAGGATGCTTCTCGTTTGCTCAAAGTCGTCTGCTGAAGGTTCTCTCTCCTCTCTGAGGTCAAGTGCAGAAGCGAGTTTCTCCTCGCTCCAGTTCTGAGCTCCAGTATGAAGTCTCGGGAGTTTGTCTTAAAAATTCCATTGAAGTGTGAAGGCTTCAGAGTTTCTCCTCAAAGTTCACTGCGAAGTGTGTCTCTGGAGTTTTCTTAAAAGTGAAACTTAACTCTGTTAGAACAGAGATGAAGGTCCACCTTTCGGGAAGAGCTGGTGCTAATCTCTTGGCCTTGTTTCCTAAATCTTGTCCCTTTTCTGCCTTAAAAGTTTCCTTCTAAACGAGAAAATAAGACAAAGTTATTATCTTAAAGAAGATTACTTAAAACACATTTTTATGAATAAACAATCAACATGTGCTATTTTAGAATTAAACTTAAAACATGCAATATTTTAACAGAGGTGAACATCTGGAAAATGAATGTCATGTCATCAAACAAAGGGTTCTTATGGTGTTATCTTCATGGGAACGAGTCTGGGAGAAATACTCCTTTTCGATAAGGGAAGTTATCAGCGTGAGTTTGTTGAATGTTTCAAACTTCGAGGTCGGTTGAACAACAGCTCTCGTTAAAACGATCTGTCCGTTTCATGGGAAATGATGAATCTTACCTTTAACAGTTTCAAACACAAAACACAGGAATGATGTTTGTTTGAGATGAGGTGAACTGTTTTCTGAGGCGATGCGTTTCCTTACATTTGGTTATGAACTAACTTTACTGGAGTTTGGTGTGCTGGGAGGGGGAAATTGTGCAGGCTTAAAGTGAACACGATTATTTCTGCTGAAATGTTATACTGTTCTTGTTGGAGGTGCTACAGCTAGCTGCTGCTGCCATTTAAACTTAGTGCTCAGTGTGTGTTCAGGACGACTCTCAACTGCTCCCACATAAACGTTTAGCTCAGTATCTGTAAAGCTGAGTTTGAGTCATTTTTGTTTTGTCCAATTTTAATTAGCTGTGGTGACCATCTTGAAAAATGGTGAGTTTTAATGTTGTAGATACACATCCAGTGATTACTTTATATATTTAGTTTCAGCTAGCACAGCAACACTTTCAATTAAAAAAAAACATATTTGTACTGATCTCAATTAATTATCCTGATGTTTTTGTTATGTTTAGCTAATCTTTACAAACGTGGACATGTAAAGTTTAGCTGATTAGTGGTACTGCTCTATTTGACTCACATAAATTCAAATTAAACCTTAACATTTAGGTTTTGATTCATTCAGGGACATTAAAGAGACACTTAAACGTTCAACAGTTCTATAAATTATTTGAAACATTGTTTCCTTTATTCTCCAACATATTACTAGAATTTAAAAATAAGAAGATCTTCATGATTGTTGCCCAGAGTACTTTCATCTGACAGAATTAAATATTTACTCAGATTTTAAAAAGTACATAAAGAAAAAGGGCATCAGGATTCAGGACATCCTTGTAAAAGAGATTAATAATCTCAATGGATTTCATCCATTATCTTTTACCCGCTTCTTCCATTTTGGGTCACGGGGGTCGCCGGTGCCCATGTCTGAAAATCAGTTTGCGA